TTTTTACATAGTAACTAAAAGTGTGGTGCGTGCTACTTATATTGATATAAGTAGTATATGACGCGAGTCAGGAATATAATATCTGGCAGCGGAAAATGGGGAAGATCAAGAAAGGAAGAACGGGAATAGAAAGCAATTAGTATGGACATGCAAGAACAACGAAGTTCGAGACAATTACTGAACATTTTGCAAATTTAGTATTATATTATGATTTTTCTATTTTAACAAGTAACTCTGTAATGTTGTGCTAAATATAATTCGGTTGTCCTCATCTGTGCTCTCCTTCGCTACAAAATTATTACATTTTATTCTATATGAATAGGAAGATTTTTTAAAAATGTGTTATTTGGACAATCTTAATTGATTTGATTTATGATCCTACCCCCCCCACACACGAGATTCAAACCCATGACCTATCAATCTCACGCGCGCGAACGTTTAACCATTAGACCACTGAATTGGTCGGCATCTAACGGTGTTAATGTTTAAATTCAACCAATCTACGAAATTACGACACCATCGAATCTCGCGGAGGGGGGTGGAATTGTTGATGAGCACTTTTGAGGAGTCTCACAATAGGACGAAATAGCTGTCCAGTGTTTCCAGGTTTTCCATGGTGGTTTAGCTTTAATTGACTAATGATTTCAACTATTGAAATGACTAAAATCTCTACAAAATCCGTTCTGATTTGATTTAATTAGATATTTTTAAATTGTTCAATTCATTAATCGATTAAAGCTAGACGATTATGGAAAACTTGGAAGTAATGGATGGTTATTTTGTTTTAGTATGAGACTCCTTAACAGTGAGCATTCATGATTCTGTACACGAGACTCAAACCTAGGGATTTGGGTTATCTTATAAGGACGCTTAACCTTCAGAATATGCATGTGTTACGAAATATCCCTATAACGTTCTGCTTCGATATTAGATCAATTTATAATTTAACAACCAGATACAATAGATTCACATACCCTAGATGATATTTAGTTTCAAAATTTTCTAATCAAGTGAACAGTATATTTTACTTTGAAAATATCTTCAGTTCAACAGATTATAGTTTAAGACTGATAGGTTCTGAGATTGAATTCTGTGAACATGATCTTGAATGCTCACCGCTAAGAAGTCATATATTAAGATGAAATGGCTATCTAATCATTCCAGGTTTTTCATAATGGTCTAGATTTGATCAACTCATAAATTCAACTATTAAATATTATTACAATCTGTACAAAAATGTTTTGGTGGATACGTTTATGGAACTGTATGAAATACAGTTAGAAGGATAGTTAATATAAGTTTTTCTAGAAAAATGAATATATTACTTAAAAGCATGTTGATTATGAACTTTCCTCTGTTAATACATTTGTTTATTTGAATATTAGTACAAATGGGGCATCAAATAAATATGCGCCACACAAGTCATTTGATTTGTGTGTGAACTGTCATATTGCCCGAATGTTCAGACTGAAGCAGGTGATTGTCTTAGAGGGCCACACATTGAGCCTTTGAATTAAAGGTCTAATCCACAAGACAGTGGAGCAACATCAGGAGATGCACTCACATGGTAGCCGGTGACCAACAACACGTTCATACACTATTTGTTTTCTTCGGGATCCTGGAGCCTATGTACACCATTGGTTTGTAATCGGGGTTTTCCAACTCCCTTAAGTGAACTCTCTGTGTCCACTTACCCGGTTAACGGGCCGGACATTCACTTTTCGTCCTCTTAATTTGGTAATCAACAACTTCACGACGAAAAGACAATGAGTAGGACTTCCCTGGTAGTGGCTGTATACGTGTGGTCATGTGAGAGCATTTCGAGAGGGAGAACCGAATCTCCCGACGCTCTTTCGTATCAGAGTATTTGGGGGAGAGCTCTCTGTTAGTGATTTATTATTGAAGTTGATAATAGACTAAGCATCCCTATTCTTAATGTTAAACCGATACTTTAGAAAGGTATATTTATATAAATCCTTTATGAATTTAGCATTTAACAAGCTTCTACAATTCGATTCTTGTTAGTACAGTGAAAAATTTGGAATATCTCTCTCATTTAACGTATAAGTTTATCCAAGTTAACATGGTATATTAATCATCTTTTTTGTTTCACAATCTTCAAATGGTGCAGTTTGACCTAATCCTGGCCATATTTGGGTTCATTAATTTGAATATGTAATTATAGAAACTGAAGAGAATTTCACATGGTATTAATTGCTTGAATTTTCCCATTGTTGTTTAGAACTGCAGTTGATCCAGCTGACGATTCTTAAACAGGGCGAAACGCGCATCGAATTGGATTCCACTAATAGCCATTATTCATCCAAGTTTATAATGCTTGTGAATTAAGGCATTATCGAAGCAATTTGCGCAGGATGCACATATGTCAACAAGAGACTGATCAATTGCAGATCTAAACATCAATGGGAAGATTCAAGTAATAAACAATACCAAGTGAATTCAAACTTCACCCTATTGCACAAGCGTGTTGCTATTAGGACTCAAAGCTAAGTGGATGATCCTGGATTTGAGTCCGAGAGTGAAGATGAACTTGGAGATGCAGGTAAATCGAGATGACGAGTCCAAAATGGGACGAAACGTGCATCCTGGATTCTACTGCTAGTCACCATCCACCTCTGTTTTTAATTACTTCATTATTGTTATCAAAAGGGAATGACACATTTCCAATATGATAATTAATTACTATAAATTACTGATATATTTTAAATTGTAATTGAGGAACATACTATACTATATCCAATATTAACATTCAGCTTCTACTCAGTTGAATTGTGGTGTGTGTTACCGACGTCGACAGATATAAGTAATAGTATGTATCATCAGTCGAAAGTGAAATACCTAGCGACAGAAGATTGAGAAGATCAAAGGAAAGAAGGCGAGAATAAAGAATGATTGCTGTGGAAACGAAAGAACAGTGAAGTCTGATCATTTCTGATCATTTTTTAACTAACGACCAATCATAAACAACAATGTAGGTTATAGAAGTAATTCACATGATCGTTCAAGTCATCACACCTAACAATAGACAGGGGAAAATATAGTAAGGTGAGTAACATAACAATCAAAACAAAGACGTAAACTATGAAAGATTTAAGATTAACAATAACCAATCAACACGTGTTACGTATGCCTGAACACCGATTGCCACGACACGTAGGGTTGACTACAGTAGGAGATGGTCTGAAGAAATTAGGGTTGGCCAAACCAAAGTGTGGCATCATTGGTTGAAGTCATTTTGGTAGATGCAGACTAATTGGTTGGGGTCCGCGTGGCTATCGTAACCAATGGTTGGAGACTCTTGGTGACATGGCTCAGAATCGGTCACAATGGCGTAGGTGTATACACTCTTTGTCTCCCTTAAACCATAAGATTAAAATCGCTTCATATCTTTCTAGGTACTAATTCTTTCTTCCTGTACCATATCCTTATTGCAATCTTTCTTTTATATGTTACCACCACTGAATTGGCTACTTCTATGAATCCGGTGTTTGTCTTGTTATGCTAATGAGGTATGGAACGTGGACAGACACATATATGTGCCTGGTCCTACATTGTAACTGACTGACTGCTGACTGAGGTCTACGAGACAAGGTGTGAACCATATGCGGAGAAATTCGAACACTTCCTCTGAAGTTTGTACTGATAATGTCGTTCAGAAGAACGATGAAAGCTTCACGATCAAACCATCCAGCTCACAGAACAAAACAACATCAATATAAGTAGAAAAATAACACCATTTGTAAAGGATAGATTAATATAGAGAATTTATTATAAAAAGAATAAATTAGATGGGAGACGACAACGAAAATTCAGGACCTAGTAGGAGAACCTTTTTAATTCAACATCTTCAAACATTAATAAATCGTGATAATCTAATGGTTGAATTCATGAGTCCATTGAAGCTAGACTATCATGAATACCCGGAAGCACTGGACGACCATTTCGTCCTAGTACGGGACTTCTCAGCAGTGCACATTCACAACCCCGCACTCAGGACTCAAACCCAAGACCCGTCGGTCTCCTGCGCGAACGATTAACCTCTAAACCACTGAGTTAGCAGATATCCAACAGTTTTAATGTCGAACTTCAATCAATCCACAAAATTACGCCACCATCCACTATTGTCTTCAGTGAATGACTGTCTCACAACAGACCCAGTTGAAATCTACTGGTCACGACTTCTCACTAGTATTGCAAAAAATACCTTATGAAGCCTGTCACTAGTAAGCATATGATCAGAAGAGTGTTTTTGTGGATATTTTAGTAATTTGATAATTGTGATAAAAAACAAAACAAAACAATGGATCTTAAACAAGCATCCCACATCTATCATTACTCTTTATTCGAATACTCAATGACTTCATGCATTAACATCATATCTTTTAGTGAAAACTATTTCACTTAAACAGTATTAAAAATATCATGAGTATTTCAGTAGGAAAAGACGATAGAAATGGATAGGATATACATTACGCAAATCATCAAACTGCATCACGAGGCGAGCCCTGACTTGGAATCCTGAAGGGAAGCGGAAAAGTGGAAAAGTGGCCAAAGAACATATTACGTTGGGAAATACAATCAGATATGAAAAAGATGAATAACAATTGGAAGTAACTGGAAAGGATCGCCCAGGACAGGGTTGAATGAAGAATGCTGGTGAGCGGCCTATGCTCCTTCACAAGGAGTAACAGGCGTAAGTAAGTAATTAAGTAAGAGTATTTCAGTAATAGTATTTTTTATTAAAAATGCATGAATTTGTATATGATATTACTAATAATTATGAAAAGAAATATAAAAAAAATAGAATGAGTTTTGATGATTTATATACATGAACTACTACTGTGAATCAAATGTTTGGCATGGATACATACACACACACACATAGACTCGATCGAGCAAACAAACAACTCCATAAGGCTTGAATGATTTGTTCAAGAATAAAACTTTATCCAAGACCATTCAACTGAATTATAAAATCTTCTTCTTCTTCATCATCATCATCTTCAAATCATATAAACATTTATTGGAAGGAATCATTTTAAAGAGGACAGCAATAACAAAGAACTTGTTATTCAGATTAAACATTAAATAGTTGACTTTGTATTTTAACCTTGAATAAGTTCTAATAGAAGTGATTTTAATAAACGTGCTTCATATGTAATAGTATTTTGTCCTGGATGAATTTTCTGTGGTTCAATTGGTTGTTCAATAATCACTTTTATATTACGTCCATATACTAAAATATAATCAATGAAATGACAATATTAAGTGAATTCTTCAATAGAAATAATGAATAAATATTGATTTCAACAGTTGAGATCATGAGTCCATTGAAACTAGACCATTATGGAAAACCTGGAAGCACTGGACGGTCGTTTCATCCTATTGTCGGACTCTTCAGCAGTGCGCATCCACGACTCCGCCTCGCAGGATTCCAACCCAGGACCTATCAGTCTCGCGCCAGGCGCTTAACCAACTAGATCACTGAGCTGGCATCTAACGGTGTTAATGTCTAACTTCAACTAATCCACAAAATTGAGCAACACATTCACCATTGTCATCAGTGAGTTACTATCTTATAACTGACCTGGCTGAACTCCAGGATATACCTCTTGAAGCCAGTCACTACTGAGCATATGTTAATTAATATCAGAAGGGGTTTTGTGGCGATCGTAGTAATTTCAACAGTTGAGATAAATAATAATAATAATAATAAATAGTGCCTTTCATAAATGTTTCAAGGTATAATCAGTGATTTGTTATAGTAGAAACAATTAACATTTATAAGTAAAGATGAATAGTGGCTAGTAGTGGAATTCAGTTTGATACACGTTTCGTCCCATTTGGGACTCGTCAACTTGATGTAGCTACATCTCAGAGTTGATGTTCACTCTGGGACTCAAATGCAATACCATTCACTTCAAATGCCATTGTGTTATCCACTAAGCTACTGAATATTAACAGCCACTTGCTTGTGAAATAGGGTGAAGTTTTAATTTACTTGGTACTGCTTGCTTGTATCTTTTCATTGATGTTTGAAACTGCAATTGATCAGTCTCTTGTTGACATATGTGTACCCTGTGCGAATTGCTTCGATAATGCCTTAATTCACAAGCATTATAAACTTGGATGGATAATGGCTAGCAATGGAATCCAGGTCAATACACGTTTCGTCCTATTTGAGACTCGTCAGCTGAATATACCTGAATCTCATAGTTGATCTTCACTCTCGGACTCAAATCCAATACCATTCAATTTAAACACTATCGTATTATCTACTTAGCTACTGAGACCTGATAGCAACACGCTTTTGTAACGGGATGAAGTTTCAATTCACTTGGTACTGGTTACTTGTAACTTTTCATTGATGTTAAGGGTTGAAATTGGTCAGTCTCTTATTGACATTAATGCGTATATACCAATAAGTTCTAAACATCAATGTGAAGATTCAAGTAGACAACAATACCAAAATGAAATGAACAATTATGAATAATAAACTCATGTATAGAAAGATTAGAACATTGATTCTATAGAGAAAGAGAGACACTATCGAGGTCAAAGTAAGTTGAATATAACTTGTTGATTGTTAATAATGGAATAGATATTGTAAATATTGGAACTGGTTTTTAGAAATAGTATCATTAATGACTTTGTTGTACATTTATTAAGTAACTAGATTACTATGTACATATATGGATATCCTATTTATCACACGATTTCAGTTGACTTATTAACTATGGTTATATGATATACAGTTATAATTTTGTTGCCAGCCTATTATTTACGATCTTCCCCACCCCTTCATTCATAACTAACCCCTCTATAATTTTATGGGTAATATGGTCTGGTATGTTTGTATATTAAACAATATCTATTTGAAATATAAATATATATCGTAAAGGTTGGTTACTAATTGTGGACTCAAAGGTGGACAAATAGGAACCTAGTTGCTGGCCTATGGACAGTAGTGATAAACGAGTGTGTAATTGACTAAATCAGAGACACTACACTATGGAGTATATATAGTAGGTTGAATTAGAATCAGGATTCTGATTGATAACTGGACACTTGATATTAGATAACGGTCACAAGACATAAGATAAATGTAACTGATAAACTGTTAGAATCCAAAAAAGCTATAAACAGCTGTTTTATTGAAGTTCGTAGGTTCATCATAGTGTTCATATATAACGTTCAAGGTTTCCTAGTGGGCACATGTTATAACTTGTGGCAATGTGCCCTATTAATATATAACGCAAAGATACTGCCAATTGGAGAATAGTGGCTTATCGACAGGACAAATGGGGCATGAAACCCGTACAAACAGTTTACAATCTTTATCTGTCCTACACGACACTTCTAACATCTTTCAAATTGTGACACTGTATGGTCTTGACTAAATTAATTCTATCGGTCAATAATTCTAACCAGATTTGTTGTTGACAAATCGAAAACAGACGTTAGGAAAAACTTAAGGAATCTTTCAAAATACTTCTAATGAAACACTGAATTTCATGAATTGTTTCCTTAGCTTACTGCTAATATATAGTCCGTTTCGTCCCAGTATGGGACTCCTCAGCAGTGCGCATCCACAATCCCTTGGTTCGAATCACGCAGGCGAGATTGTGGATACGCAATGTTGAGGAGTCCCATACTGGGACTATACAACCGTTCAGTGCTTCCTGATTTTCCATGGTGGTCTAACTTTAGCTGACTTATGAATTCAACAATTAAATTACTACAATCTCCCTACTATAAACTCCCTTCTCATAATAAATATTGTCATCAAATGATATATACTATAGTTGTAAACTTTTCTGTTCAGATCATGAATCACTTTGCATAGGATTGTAGTGACTCACATTTATCACGAGAACACGACTGGTTTAATAAAAACAATCATTATTATAACCAACTGTACCAGTGTTTGTTTTAATGTGCTTTTGTTTGACTGTGCTAATGACAGCTATTTTGTGCTTCCATTCTTATTCTCACACTTTGATTGTGACCTCGCGCGAATTCGGTTACGTTCTGTAACCAAGCTTGTATCCTGGCACGATCTCGGTATTCTTTCGATACCACAAGATCGCCAGCAAATATATATTTCGATTTGGTCCATTAATTGCCTTCTGGTATTTGGCTTCTCGAGGATTTTATGGATTTATTTGGTTACGTTCGACCTTCGCCTCCTGATTTATTTGGCACGTGTTTCTCTTGGTAGCGGTGTTTATAGTCAACCACGACTCGACGCCACGCTACAGGATCAAGACATTTATATTGATTGATCAGTAAGTAATAAAAAAACCTAGTGTTGGTTCAATCTTTTGAACCCTATAGAAAATATCAGCTATCTGAAGATAACAGAAATATTTTTGCCAACAAATGTTAACTATCCACGATCCCGCGAGCAGGATCGTGGATGCGCGCTGCTGAGGAGTTCCACAATAGGACGAAACGGCCGTCCAGTGCTTCCAGGTTTTCAATTGTGGTGGTCTAACATCAATCGGTTCATGATCTCAATCAAAAACTTAATAATCTCCACAACCCCTATACTAGAAATGTTAACTAGAAAGAAATCTGGGGTCCGATATCAATCATAAAATAAATAAGTCAATGACAGATTTTAAACATTGAATATCATATGACTTACATTCACAATGTTCTAAAAATTGTATGCACTCCATGAGTACAGCATCTCTTAATAAAATCATATGTTTTGACATATTTTCAATCAGTGATAGGAAACAACGTTTAGCATAATACCTGAGAGAGAGGGAGAGAGAAAGTGAAGGGAAATAATGATAATAGTATTATTTACGTAGTTTAACTTACCAACTGATCTTAACTAGACAACCATCTCAGTCAGTCTGTCATCTACAACGTTAGACCAGGCACATATATGCATCGGTTCAAGTTGCCATAACTCATTAGCACAACAAGATGAACACCGGATTCATAGAAGCAGTTAACTCAATGGTGTAATAAATAAAGGAAAGATTTTATGTAAGGATATACTACAGAGAGAAATAATTAGTTCGTAGAATGGAAGATATGAAGAGATTTTAATCTCATAGTTTGAGGGAATACAGGGAGTGTATGCATCGACGCCATTGTGATTGATTCTGCATCTACCAACATGGATAAGGCCAGAAGTAAGTGACTTCAAGCACCAATACTACGTTTTGGTTTGACTACACAGATCTTTCTCCGGTCCGTCTCCAACACTAGTCAGCATTGCGCGTTGTGGTAATCGGTGTTCAGGCATACGTAACAGTTGACTCAACCATTTCAGTCGATGAAGATTCACAACTTTATTGACGGATTTACGATCATTTAATAATACCCTGCGCGTGATTCCAGCAAATGCGAGCTACAACTGTCTAAAACTTGGAAGCTTTGAAAGGTGTTTCAACCTGGTAGGTGACTCTTCAGCGTTACACATTCACAAAATCTCAGTCGAGAATTGAACCTAGGACTTAAGTCCATGAACCTCTAGACTAACGAGCTGGCATCTAGAGGTTTTAATATCTAACATCGTAGGACGCTAACCTTGATTCCGTGATATGAGGTTGTTAAAGTGTATTGCTAATGATGAAAAAATCATCGAATTCGTTTACGTTTCCAATAGTCGCTTAGCTAAGATCCGACAAAAATACTCTTTATACTAATACTTACTTACTTACGATTTGTCATACCACATTAGCACAGAGATACAATTGTCGATTCGAATCCCGTAGTGCTAGAGGTATTAAAAGTATAAGCAGTAATCGGAAACATTAGGGTTTGAAGATGTTATTCGAGGAGTATAGTTCAGTGAAATAAATTTGGAAAGTAAAAAAGGGACCACAAATAATAAATTACTATATACATGTATCATTAGAACTTTTTTTATTCTATACAAAAGTTGAGTAAAATCTCAACGTTTCGTTCAACAATCTGATCTAATAGTTGAAATCATGAGTCCATTGAAGCTAGACCACTATGGAGGACCTCGAAGCACTGAAAGGCCGTTTCGTCCTATTGTGAGACTCCTCAGCAGCGCGCATCCACGACCGCACCTAGCGGGATTCGAACCAAGGACCTATAGGTTTCGAGTGCGAGCGCTTATATATATATATGTGAGTAAATACATAGTTCTTTTGTTCACTGTATACCGAAAAGATCATTTAAATAAACGTTGACAGTGCTTTGAAATTAAGGTAGATCGTCAGTCTGAGATGTTCAAAGTGTCCTATTAAGAGAAATCTGTCTAAATTCCTAATAATTTACTAGTCAAAATAATGATGTATCTATCCAACCAACTTTTGTTATTCACTTTTTCTATTGATTATAAATTGATTGATGATACGGTAGATCTTCAATGATCTAGACATGTTTTACCCATAAGGGGATGTAATACTAACTAATGTGATAACAAGCAACAAATAAGATTTTTACTTCAATTAATAGTATTATTCATCTTATCATCATCATCATCATCATCCAAATCATCATCATCCGAATCATCCTCATTATCATCGGCATCAACATCATCATCATCATCATCATCGGCATCATCATCATCATCATCCGAACCATCCTCATTATCATCGGCATCAACATCATCATCAACATCATCATCGGCATCATCATCTTGTTAATGTCATCTTTTATTGTTATGATATGAGATGGGACAACTTGAACTGATACACTAATGTTTAAGGTTCTACATAGTTTATGAATGATCGGTCAACTTGTTATTATCAGTGTTTATTTGTGTTTGTCTAGTTAATATCCCCGAAAAAATCAATAAATATTGATTAGTTCACATTTTTAGTTGATATATAGATACAGCACCAACTAAGTAAAAAAAAAAAAATGAGAAAAAAAAAATAATGCCGATTAACACTTAGTGAATTTTGCATTGTTTCTACCTTGAAAATATTTTTTTAAAGGAAAATACACAGGTATAGAGGTAGAAAGAATAATGATACATTGGACATAATCAGATATCAACCAGATTGGTCAAAAATTGTTGTGATTTCTAAGGGATAAGACATATTTACTTACTTAATTACTTATTTACTACTGTTACACCTCGTGGAGACGCATAGGCCACATACCACCATTCTCCATCCAACTCTGTCCTGGGCACTTCTTTCTAGTTCTTTCCAGTTGCTATTCATCGTTTACATGTCTGATTTCAATTTTCGACGCAGTTTATTCTTTGGCCTATCCTATTTCCGTTCCTCTTTAGGATTCCAAGTTAGCACTTGCCTCGTGATTCAGTCTACACAATGTATGTCCTATCCACTTCCTAATTTCCACTTTATCCGAAGGTTAGTTTGTTCTGTTCCACAATAGACTGTTGCTGACGGCATCTGGACAACGGATATTGAGTATCATGCGTAGACAATAGTTTATAAATGCTTGTACCGTCTTGATGATGGTTTTAGTATAGTTGTCCTAGTTTCAGCTCTGTACAGTAGAACTGCCTTGACGTTCGTATTGAAGATTCTCACTTTGATATTGATTGACAGTTGCTTTTAGTTCCATAGGTTCCTCAACTATAAGAATGCTGTCTTTGATTTGCCAATCCTCACCTTTACGTCTGCGTCGGATCCTGCTTATTCATCGATGATGCTGCTCATATACGTGAAAGATTATACATCTTCCAGAGTTTCTCCATCAAGTGTGATTGTATTAATGTTCTCCGTGTTGCATTTAGGGATCTTGCTTTTTCCTTTGTGTATGTTGAGAGCCACTGATGCAGAGGCTGTTACTACACTCGTTGTCTTTATCTGCATTTGTTTGTGTGAAAGCGACAGAAATTGCAAGTCGTATACGAAGTTCAAATCGTCTAGATTTCTCTCATATATCGATGTTTTCATCATCTAATCGACCACTAGAGGGAAGAGAAAGGAGGAGAGTGTACAGCCTTGTTTGATTTCAGTTCTCACTTGGAATGTATCTGTTATCTATCCTCCATGTATCAGATAATAATCTTTATTTCTCTTTCTCAATCTTTTTACTCAAGTAACCAGTTACACTCATATATAAAGACATTAAGAATCTGAATCACACACACACACACATACACACACATATATATAATGATCTACTTACCATGTATCTGGTCCTAATTTCTTTTGATATGGTTCTAAACTTTTCATAATACGACTAATACCAAAATCATAATTCCCTTTAGTACAATATAATGTACCAATTACTAAATTAATAATACATAAATGATAACATTTTTTATTAGAATAATGATGATTCAATGGATCTATTTCAACTCCTTCAAGAACTACTTCTTGATGTTGTTGTTGTTGTTCTAGTTCTTCTTCTTCTTTTTCTATTTTACGCATTAATTCTTCAGCATATTCATTTTGACTAGTCATTATATAGGTAACACATAAATTAGCTATAATAATTGCATTAATATTTAATAAATTTGTATATTGACGTTTTATAATGGGTTCATAAAAATTACACGCTTCTTTATATTTATTCTCTTGCATAAATAATACATGAGCAACATTTAATTTCCATATTGGATGATCATTACAAAATTCAACTGATTTACGAAAGATTTTCTCAACCTAAAGAAAGAAACAAGAGAAGATATCAAATAGATATGACATTCGATATATATGTGTGGAGGAGTTGAAATACCAACCCTAGAAGTATCTAAACTGAAGTAGCTAGTGGAGGTCATATCTTACAGTCTTTGAACTAGTGGATATAGAGGATTCATTTAGCTTACTAAATTACTTACTTACTTACGCCTGTTACTCCTTGTGAAATACCATAGGCCATTCACCAGCATTCTCCATTCAACTTTGTCCTGAGCAATTCTTTCCAGTCTTTTACAGTTCCTATTCAGCCTTCTCATATCTGATTCTATTTCCTGACGTAATGTGTTCTTTGGCCTTCCACTTTTCCGCTTGCCTTTACGATTACAAGTTATCATTCGCCTCGTGATGCAGTTTGATGATTTGCGTGTTATATATATCCTATCCATTTCCATCGACTTTTCCTAATTTCTTCTTCAGCTGGAAGTTGGTTTGTCATCTAGCACAGAAGGCTGTTGCTGATGGTATCCGGTCAATGGATGTTGAATATCATGCGTAGAAAGCTATTTATAAATACTTGTACCTTCTTAATGATGGTTGTAGTATAGTTGTCCTAGTTTCAGATCCGTACAATAGAACTGCCTTGACGTTCGAATTGAAGATTCTCACTTTGATGTTGGCTTGTAAACAGTTGTTTTGAGTTCCGTGTGTTCCTCAATTGTTGGAATGTGGCCCTTGCTTTGTCAATCCTCACTTTTACGTCTGCATCTGATTCTCTTTGTTCATCGATGATGCTTCCCAGGTAATGAAGGATCTTTCAGAGTTTTGCCATCAGGTGTGATTGTATTGTTGTTCTCCGTGTTGTATTTGAGGACCTTGGTTTTCCCTTTGTTTATGTTGAGGCCTAGTGATGCAGAGACTGCTGCTTCACTGGCTGTCTTTATCTGAATTTTTCGTGAGTTGGAAAATCTAGATCCCAAACTAATGGTGTACATGGGTTTCAGAATCATGAAGGAATAAATGATGTATGGAACTACTGTTGGTCATCATGGCGACCACGAGACTGCATTTATTTAGCTTGTTCCACTGTCTTATGGATTAGACATTTAGGTCAAAGGTTTCAGGTGTAACCCTTTAAGAAAACCATCTGCTTCGGTTTAGGTACCCTGGAAATATACCAGCCCTTACACAAATCGAATGATTTATATGGCGCATATCTGTTTGATGCTTTCTTATATCAATGCTTATGTGTCTAAACAAATAAATAAGAGGTCTAATCCACAAGGGAGTGGAGCAACGTAAGGATATGAAGTCAATTGGTAGTCGGTGACTAACGATTGGTTCATAAGCCAATCTTTCCCTCAGAATACTAGAATTCACGAATACCATTGACTTGGAATCAGGGTTTTCTAATCGCTCTAGATGGATCTTGCATATCTACCAATCCGGTTACCGCATTGGAAATTTTGCTTTTCATCCTCTCGACTTCCTGAACAACAGTTATGCCGTGACAAAGCAAAGAACAGGACATCTGCGGTAGTGGTTGCATGCACCTGATCATCTGAGAGCATTTTAAGAGCAATAGCTGACTATCCCTATTATCGGCCGTACCATGGCATTTGGGGGTAACAAAACAAAACAAAATAATCACTCAGTAAATCACTCTCTAATTAATCCACAATGAAACAAACTCCATTTTTAAAGATTAACGGAGTTTTGCTAAACGTTATTCATTTATTATCTAATATTGGTCTTGGATAACTATTGAGTAGGTATGCATCTATATGCTTATAGTGCCCAGAATTCTTGAAGATCGTGTGTTTCAAAAAAAAACGTTTCCAGTTCTGAAATCATCTCAATAAAATTTGGGTAAATTGCATTTTGTTTCTGAGCCGTCGGTTAGATTGTGGTCAGTGATCACTAAACTTTCAGTCACACACGTTTATATCATGACCAATAGTTAAGACTGATTAAACATAAAAGCTATTGTCTTTCTTACAATAATTATTTTCATTCTTGATCATTCATTTGTTAACTAAAACAGAACATATGGTTATAGTATTCCCGATGCATATTACACATATAAATGCCCTCACATGGAATCCTCAAGGCCAAAGGAGAAGAGGAAGACCAAAGAACACATTACGCCGGGAAATGTAGATGGACATCAGAAAAATGAACAAGAATTGGATGGAACTAGAAAAGAAGGCCCAGGATAGAGTGGGTTGGAGAATGCTGGTCAGTGGCCTATGCTCCATTGGGAGTAACAGGCGTAAGTAAGTAAGTAATTGCACATATAAATAACAGGTTTAATTTTCTAATATTTATTTACACAGTCAGTTGGCCAATGATTTTATCTTTTGAAATCATAAGTTATCATTTGTCAGCTAGGCTTTTCAGACGACTATCTGTAAGAAACTAAGCCATATTAAATCTGTTAATACTACTAGATTGCCTAGATTGAAATAAATAGGATGTGTTTAGAAAATGTGGAGGACCGCTGGAAGACGTATTCCGAATGAGGACCGGAGTCAGAAAAAGCTACCTTTTCTCCTCTTTTCTCTTTCTTCCGATAGTTGATTGGATTATGAAGACATCGACATCTGAGGGGAAACACAGAATACGATGGACAGGTTGCATACAATTAGATGATTTATACTTTGCCGATGACCTGGCCCTTCTATATCATACACATCAAGAAATGAAGGTCAAGACAAACAGTGTAGCAGCAGCATGTGCATCAGTAGGCGTCAACATAAACAAGGGAAAAAGCAAGATCCTCAAACACGACACAGAGTAAACCAACCCAATGTCACTTGATGGAGAAACTATGAAAGATGCACTCATAGACTTATCTCTCGCTCTTTGTGTAGTCTTGTGAAGGAAAATGATCTTTTGACAATCTTCGACGTATTCATACTCCGTAAATGTGTCTAGTACTTACACTGTGACATACTTTCAGTATATAGATATACATATAAATAATCTCAATAGTTGAAATCATGAGTCAATTGAAGCTATACCACCATGAAAAACCTGGAGGCACTGGACGGCTGTTTCGTCCTAGTATGAAACTCCTCAAGAGTGCGCATCCACGATCCCGCCCCGCAAGATCCGAACACAGGACCTACCAATCTCGCGCGCCCGAGCGCTCAACCATTAGACCACTGAGCTGGCCGGCATTCGACGGTGTTAATGTCTAACTTCAACCAATCCACAAAATTGTGGCCGTCCAGTGCTTCCAGGTTTTCCATGGTGGTCTAGCTTCAATCGACTCATGATTTCAACTGTTGAGATTACTAAAATCTCCACAAAACCTTTTCTGATATATATTTATGTATAAACAGCAACAATCTCTGTATATCTTTAATGTTTACCTGTTGATAATTTTCCATATCCCAATAGATTTTAGCTTGTTGCATCAATACTGGAATATAATTTTCTAATGCCATATCATATTCATGTACAGTAGTTCTAACTAATTCATCATTTTGATTTTGTCTAGCTTCTTGAATTATTTTTGTTAATCGTCTTAATTGTTCTGTATGTTTAATAGCCATTTGATCAAGACGACTTGAGTAAAAGATTTCAAAGAAAATCACAAAACAAAATAATTGCTGAATACTTCATCCATAACAAAACAAGTTTAGAAGATGATATTCAAACTGACACCTAAATTATAGGATCTTCGACTACTCAAGTATCAACTAAGTTTCCACATGTTCTGCATCACACTGTGTCAAGACTGAGATTCGAACCTATGCCCACAGGGTGGACTGTGAGTTGAACGCAGCGCTTTGAACCTATCGGCCACCCTGACTAAGCCAACTAATGCCTCAACACATTGTACCTATTTATATCTGCATTGATTCAACAATGGAATACTTCTTTAATACTTAATGCTAGTCAAATAACATTAGTTAAGTTGCAATGAATTTAATAATCTAAGTTAGATGACGTAATCTGATTGATGACGGCAATCTACAGGAAATCCTGGATCTAGGATTCGTATTAACTGGGACATATCAATGAGACATACCTGGAATTTTGAGGAAGTTTACGTTCAAGGTCAACAAGAACCAATCAACATCGAGATCCACAGGACAAGCTGTGAACTACATACGGAGAAATTCAAACACTTCACTTTTATCTGAAGTTTGTGCTGATGATGTTTTTCAGAAGAACGATGAGAGCTCTACGACAAAACCATCCAGCTCAGAGAACAAAACTACATCAAAATGACACACCTGAGCTACAAATCTTCTCTATAATCTCAAGCTTACGTTTCGCGTGATATACAAATCGATATTATCCAGTTTTGCAATCAAAAACATCGTCACTGAGTTATCTGAACAATGACTACCCTCCTAAAGGATTTAAAGGTTCGCCATGACTGCCTATTGAATGATAACCAGTGTCAAGCTAAAAGTCAGTAATTAATATTATCAACATGAACTATATTGCGATAACAGTATAATTCACAGTCGATATCATCTATAGGTGAGTATCTTTAACTCAGCTTCATTGACTTTGTTAAACACAAGACTTTTCATCAAGTCATCAAAAATTCATCTTCAATTTCGTCGATAATATGAACATCATCAGCGTTCACATAAAAGATTGTGTGAATATTAATGTGAACCATTGAAAATGCAGGTTATCAAACACTACCACAGTGATTAGGCAGTATTGTCGCGAAATCTGAAGATCTTTGACTAGATCCTGTGAAGTTTCATAGATGTTTATCGTTGTATATGGCTACTTACTGATAACCCCCTATCATCTGGAACAACCGTCCCTTAAGGTCCTACCATGCCAGCAAACCCAAGATCTAAAGGTGAAGTCGTACTGCTGACTGTACAGAAGTGTGACGGCAGTAAGGTGTTTCCTTCAGACAACGATGCTATCTTCCCACAAGGAGGAGTGGAGTTAAAAATGGTCGACAATAAAAATGCACACCACGTCTTATCCCATGGATATCCGTCTCCAGCAGTAAGGTCTCAACAAGTACGGAGCTAACACGAAAATTACTCACAGAGAGGTCGTTTGTGACCGAACTCAAGCAGTTGTCCCTTGGGCACTGCGGTCACGCCCTCGGGTCACTAAGACCACCTTTAACCCAATGTCCTCTTCAGGTACCTCCCTAAGAACCTCTCTACGATGTGGGCAACCGGGAAGCGATAACCGCCCTCATAACTCTAACAGTACTCAAGGTCACTTAATATATACTATCAAACCAATCTCCATTAGGAGCTGGCGTTATTTGAAGAACAAATAAAGTGAAGAATTCTATCAAAGTTACTACTTGTAATATGAAAACCCATGTTCTAAGACCTGACACAGAATCAATCCTTTAAGCTGTCAAACTTATTGACAGTATAGCCTAATCTCTTAGATAAATTACAACATCCCACAGTTATTTTTCAATCAAACAATCAATGAATAATATTATACAAATTAAGTGGTTTAATGTTAAGCTTGTCATATGACATAATATTCACAATGAAGATGAAATATAGTTGAAAACAAGTAACCAAATATTGTTGTATTCAGTTTCTCTGTCAATCAACATTCGTCAGTAAAGAATGTCTATAATCTTCAAGAGACTCGTTTATGATTGAGATCATGAACCGATTGATGTTAGGTCATCATTGAAAACCTGTAAGTACTGGACGGCAGTTTTGTCCTATTGTGGGACTCTTCAGCAGTGCGCATCTCAGATCCTGCTCGCGGGATTCTAACCCATGCCCTTTAGTCTCGCGCGCGAACGCTTAACCTCTAGACCACTGAACCGGCATCCAACGGTGTTAATGTCTAACCTTAACCAATCCACTTATTTATAGCGAGTAATTCTAACCCTTACTACGAGCAGGAGACGGTATTATTGATGAATTTGAGCCACACTTAACCTCCTACGTGACTGTGACATTTAAATTAAGTAAGAGTCAAGTTCGGCTTTGAATAGATCTTCAAATCTCACACCGAACATTACTTTCCTGCAGATCACAAGTACATCATACTGATGAGTACCAATTAACACAAAACTTAGGTTTAGCCATCAAAACAGTGTGAAGAATATTGAATCATTTAATTTGATAACTATATTACAAACTAACTGGTAGAAATTGTTCAACATTAAGTACAGACAAACATGACATTGATCAGCCGATGCGAATGAATAAACTACTGATGGGTGTCACCTGGGAGAAAGTAGACAGTGATTAGTTTTTTTTTCAGATAGACTGATAGATAGTTGACAAGACTACAATTTATGGACGAACCAATCACGTATAAGATAAAAGGTCTCGAATTATGGCGCGAAATTCACTCATCCATTTGAATCCATTTGGTATTATAGCTGATATCATTTCGTGATAAAAACCCGAAATCTAATTCCTAATTTTAATCATAAACTGTAAATTATAATTCTAATCCCTCACATAGCTTTATAACCCTCATTTGATCCTGGTTATTAGGTGAATACTCTCAAGGTCGATCTAGCATCGCTCAGAGGTCGTTCATAAACTATAGTCTCACCGATCGTTTAACAGGTATCTGATGTGTCATATATATTTTCCTACCCTTGGTCATTGAATAATGAATGTACAATTCGAAATGAATTGCTTATACTTGAATTTTGGTTGAATTGAAATATGATAGAATGGTTGTTGGCTTTGTATCTATAATGTAGAGAAAGTAATCATATATATATATAGTTAGATCTTGATGGAGTTTTGTTCTCTGAGCTGGATGGTTTTGTCGTAGAACTTTCATCGTTCTTATGAACGACATCATCAGCACAAACTTCAGATAAAAGTGAAGTGTTCAAATTTCTCCATATATAGTTCACAGCTTGTCCTGTAGATCTCAATGTTGATTGGTTCTTGTTGACCTTAAACCTGTAAACCATATGTGAAGAAATTCGTACACTTCACTTCTATCCAAAGTTTGTGTTGATGATGTCATTCAAAAGAACGACGAAACCTCCACAATCAAACCAGTCAGTCAGTCAGTCAGCTACAACGTAGGACCAGGCACATATGTGTATCGGTCCAGGTTGCCATACCTCATTAGCACAGCAAGATGAACAGCGGATTCATAGGAGTGGTTGGGTCAAAGGTTGCAATAAGGATATAGTATAGGAAGAAAGAATTAGTTCGTAGACAGAAAGAATGAAGTGATTTTAATCTCTTAGTTTAAGGGAAGACAGGGAGTGTATACACCGACGCCATTGTGATCGATTTTGAGCCATATCACACAGAGTCTTCAAAAATTGTTTACGATAGTCACGCGGACCCCAACCAAGTAGTCTGCGTCTACCGAAATGGCTCAGACTAGAAGTTAGTGACTTCAGGCACTGATGCCACGTTTTGGTTTGGCCGCCCTTAACTTTCTTCCAACCATCTCCAATACCGGATAGCATTGCACGTCGTGGTAGTCGGTGTTCAGGCATACGTAAAACGCGGCCCAACCATCTCAGTCGATGAAGATTCATAACCTCATCAACTGATTTACCATCATTCCCTAATACCCTGCGTCTAACCTCGCTATTACTTACCCGGTGATCCCAGCAGATGCCAGCAATATTTCTAAGGCATCTGTGGTCAAATATTAGTAGCTTACGGGTGTCTTCTACTCTTAAAGGCCATGTTTCGCTGCCGTAAAGTAGAACGGAACGAACTGCCGCGCAGTATACTCGTCCTTTTATTGATAGACGGATATCTCGCCTTCGCCAAAGGTGACGTAAGTTGGCAAAAGCCAAACGAGCTTTTCGAATCCGTGCTGAGATTTCGTCAGACACCAACCCATTAGGGCTGATCAGACTTCCAAGATAAGTGAAGTTGTCAACGCGTTCGACTACTTCACTCCCTATCCTTAGTTCAGGTGTTGACGCAGACCAGTCCTGAAGCAACAACTTGCATTTAGAGGGAGAGAAGCGCATCCCAAACATCCTGGCATTGTTTCTCAGTGCTACCAGAAGACCCTGCATTTTGTCAGCGTCTTCACCAAACAGGACTATGTCATCTGCGTATTCTAAGTCGATAAGTGGACCTCCTGGAAGGAGATCAATACCCGAGAATTCAGTCGACGAGAAAGTTATTTCCATCAATAGGTCTATGATGAAGTTAAACAAAAATGGTGAAAGTGGACAGCCTTGACGGACACCACTTGAGGTTGCAAAAATAGATGACAGTTCGCCATAAGCTCTGACTCGACTAGTAGTGTTCGAGTAAAGAGCCTTCACAAAGTTTATGTACTTCTGAGGTACACCTTTCAATGACAGACACTGCCACAGAATCTCGCGGTCTACCGAGTCAAATGCTACTTTTAAATCAAGAAAGACCACCATCGTTGGACGCTGATAGGTATGCCTGTGTTCTAGAACCATCCAGCTTAAAGAACAAAACTCTATCAAAATCATTCATTAGAGTTACAAATCTTCTCCACCATATTAGTTTAGATCATTCATTGTTCATATTAAACAATTTAGTTTACTACTAAATTAAAGACCAAATTAATCTTTTATTTCAATAAGCAAAACTTACTTATAAGCATCTTGTGGAGAAGTTTGTCTAAGAATTACAGCTTCAATAAAATCAAATAAATCCGTTGATAAATATTCATAAGCTAATGTTGCATTTTCAGCGAATACATCAGCAGCTAAATCATAATATTCATATTTAATATAAAGTAATAAAAGATTAGCAAATGTTTCCAATGGAAATGTTTCTTGTTGTAATAAAAATTGAAGTTTTTGAAAACCAATCCCAGGTTCTTTATTCATATTCATTAATGCTTGATTATGTAATGTGATATGATCAAGTTCATTTTCATTTCTTGGTGGCATATCTGTTAATGCTTCAGATGCTGATGTATAATTTTTTAAATTGAATTCAATAGCTGCCTTAAATGAGAATATCATTGAATAAAGATAATAGTTATTAAATGGGAAATAAAGAATAAATACATATAAATGATTGTGACAATGAATTCTGAACAATATCGTTCAACATCTATAGCCATTGATAGTAGAGGGTACTCTAATTAGATATCCAACATGGGTGGACGATTTTATGGACCGATGTCATTCTTTGATTTTACTAATGTCAGATTCCGGTCAATCTGTTACTTACTTACTTACTTACGTACGTACTTACCTACTTACTTACTTACTTACTTACTTACTTACTTACTTACTTACTTACTTACTTACTTACTTACTTACTTACTTACTTACTTACTTACTTACTTACTTACTTACTTACTTACTTACTTACTTACTTACTTACTTACTTACTTACTTACTTACTTACTTACTTACTTACTTACTTACTTACTTACTTACTTACTTACTTACTTACTTACTTACTTACTTACTTACTTACTTACTTACTTACTTACTTACTTACTTACTTACTTACTTACTTACTTACTTACTTACTTACTTACTTACTTACTTACTTACTTACTTACTTACTTACTTACTTACTTACTTACTTACTTACTTACTTACTTACTTACTTACTTACTTACTTACTTACTTACTTACTTACTTACTTACTTACTTACTTACTTACTTACTTACTTACTTACTTACTTACTTACTTACTTACTTACTTACTTACTTACTTACTTACTTACTTACTTACTTACTTACTTACTTACTTACTTACTTACTTACTTACTTACTTACTTACTTACTTACTTACTTACTTACTTACTTACTTACTTACTTACTTACTTACTTACTTACTTACTTACTTACTTACTTACTTACTTACTTACTTACTTACTTACTTACTTACTTACTTACTTACTTACTTACTTACTTACTTACTTACTTACTTACTTACTTACTTACTTACTTACTTACTTACTTACTTACTTACTTACTTACTTACTTACTTACTTACTTACTTACTTACTTACTTACTTACTTACTTACTTACTTACTTACTTACTTACTTACTTACTTACTTACTTACTTACTTACTTACTTACTTACTTACTTACTTACTTACTTACTTACTTACTTACTTACTTACTTACTTACTTACTTACTTACTTACTTACTTACTTACTTACTTACTTACTTACTTACTTACTTACTTACTTACTTACTTACTTACTTACTTACTTACTTACTTACTTACTTACTTACTTACTTACTTACTTACTTACTTACTTACTTACTTACTTACTTACTTACTTACTTACTTACTTACTTACTTACTTATTTACTTACTTACTTACTTGCTTACACCTGTTACTCCCAATAAAGCACAGGCCGATGACTAACATTCTCCAACCCACTCTGTCCTGGGCCTTCCTTTCTTGTTGTATCCAATTTTTGTTTATTCTTTTCATGTCTGTCTCCATTTCTCGGCACAATGTGTTCTTTGGTCTTCCTCGTCCCCTTTGGCCTTGAGGATTCCATGTAAGGACTTGCCTTGTGGCACAGTTGGGTGCTTTCTTCAATATTTGTCCTATCCACTTCCAGCGCTTCTTCCTGATTTCTTCCTCCGCTGAAATCTGGTTTGTTCTCTCCCACAGTAAGTTGCTGCTGATAGTGTCTGGCCAACGGATTCGAAGTATTTTGCGTAAACAACTGTTAATAAACATTTGAATCTTCTGGATGATGGATTTGGTACTCCTCCAAGTCCTCCCCCCATACAGTAGAACTGTCTTGACATTTGTATTGGAAATTCTGACCTTGGTGTTGGTTGACAATTGTTTTGAGTCCCAGATGTTCCTTAGTTGTAAATATGATGCTCTTGCTTTGACGATCCGCGCCTTCACATCTGTGTCAGATCCACCGTGTTTATCAAGAATGCTGCCCAGATATGTAAAGGTTTTTGCATCTTCCAAAGTTTCTTCGTCAAGTGTGATTCGATTGTTGCATGCTGTGTTGTATCGGAGAATCTTGCTTTTCGCTTTGTGTATGTTGAGACCTACTGTTGCTGGTGCTGCTACTACGCTGGTTGTCTTCTCCTGCATTTGTCGTTGCATGTGCGACAGAAGAGCCAGATCATCTGCGGAGTCTAGATCATCTAGCTGCATCCTAATTGATCAAGATCTAATATTTGCGAAAGTATTCCAATGTTGTATTGTAATAAATTAGATGTTATTAGGATACCATATATTTAATTTCTAAGTCTCACGGATTACAGCTTTTCACTAGTTATCCAAGAATGCTAATCATCCCTAATGAACACGTAATTATTGAAACAGGAGGTTTGTAGTAAATGTTCGAATAAAATCCAAATGAAATTCCATACGGAAATCGGAAATACTGCATATTGAATGAGTGGTTTAAACCTACTGGCTTCTTCGGTACGACTAATGTCGAGTTCATGTTCAATCCATTTCTGGAGAGTCTTAATTTACGAAGAAACAGCTATCTTTTGCATCACAGTTTTCAGTATTTTTCTACAATGAGTCACTTCATGCTAAAATCTATACTGAAAATGGAAAACAAATCTCGTGTATTGATTACACTACTTAATATTGATTGAGTAGTTCGTGTTGTGTACATCTTCTTTTTAGTGTCATTTTCCAAACAAATTCTGTCTTTTGACATCCAGATTACACACATAGCTCCACTTTTAGATTAAAACCCTCTAAAGGATCTTAAAGATGATACTTTTGTTCACAGGATTCAACGTTTTCATTTCGTTTCAGTGTTTACAAATGAAGGAACTGTTTCATACTAAGACGAAGTATCTATCCAGTGATTCTTGATTCTATATGATACCTTAAATGTTGGTAGAACATATTACAAATCAAACTGACACTTACCCCCCCCCAGTAAAATCACTCAAATGGAAAAAACTGACAACGTAACGTTATTTTTGTAACATTAACTTATTGAGTTGCATGGATCCAATCTCCATCAGAAAACAAGTATCATGTGCAAGCGTTTCAATTTTATCATGTAATATTCCTATGTTAGCTAAAAGTGGGCACTCTGGGAATGACGTTGAAAAGTGCCCAAAACAGTGATATATCGTCACAAGAGCATCCTTAGAAAATAATGAGCAAATAGTTTTACCATGTTTATTTATTAAAACATATAAACATTGGTACAAGGAGGTACCAAATAAATATGTATCACACTTCGTTATTCGATTTGTGTGACGGCTGGAATACTACCAGGGTGCGAAAACCAAAACAGGTGAAGTTCTTAAAGGGTCACACCCGAAGTCTTTGACCTAAAGGTCTAATCCATAAGGCAGTGGAGCAATGTCAGGAGATGCAGTTCTATGGTTCATACACGATTTGTTCCTGCAGGATTCTGGAGCTCATGACCACCATTGGTTTGGAATGAGGGTTCTCCAACTCACCTAGGTGGACTTTTCATATTTGTCAACCCGGCTAGAGCACTGGGCATTCGCTTTTCATCTTCTTCACTTCGTAAACAACAGTAATTCCGCGAGAAGGCAGTGAGTAGGACTTTCATGGAAGTGTCTTTATAAGCGTAGCTATGTGGGAGCATTTCGAGAGAGTGAGCGAACTCTCCCCACTGTCGGCTGTATCAGGGCAGATAATTCAGGAATTAACATAAGTATTATGAAATTCTTTTGCAGTAAGTGTGGTTTTCAAGTCAACAGCTTAAGTTTATCCTATATAATGCATACGGGAGATATAAGATCAAAGGAAGACTAATGTAACAAAATCTAGAAAATAGATTAAGTCACTTGCAGCAGTCACAAAGCAGAGACTTTTTTCACCTTAGTACCCATAAAAGTAGATCGATGATGAAGTTGTACAATATTTTACCACTTAAATTCCAACATGATAGTGGACACAAATGCAACTATGTGAATATCTCAGTTTAGGATTGAGAAAACTCTAAGAATGTCAAAGAATTATTCAACTCACAAAGACACATATCCTTATGGTGAAGATTAAACTGTTATATGGTTAAAGATTAACTGAACAAAACATTAAGTTGGAGTATGAAAACATATGAAGTTAACAAATTCCATAAGGCCAGCAGTCACGAACCAATGTAGTAATTTCAATGAGTTCACTTCCATCTGAAGTAGTTGCTAATGATGATGTGCAGGACGATAATGAAAGCTTTACCATTACAACGACTAGTTTAGAGAACATAACACTATCATAAATAGGTAAAATGTAGTCCTAATATTTTGATGTAACGTTTTGTACATAAATAATTGATTAGACTGATAGATCCTGTGTTCGAATCTCGCGTAGGGTGGAATCGTGGATGCGCACTGCTGAGGAGTCCCATAATGGGGCGAAACGGCCGTCCAGTGCTTCCAGGTTTTCCATGGTGGTCTAGCTTCAATTGACTCATTATTTCAACTATTAAAATTACTAAAATCTCCACCAAACCCTTTCTGATAATTGATTAATTCACAAATATATAGGATTCACGATGTACGGATAGTTTCAACGACATTAACTTCTTGATAACCTTGGTCTTTTAAATATAATTTCTTTTTTTAAAGTAACTATTATATCACATCATTTATAAACAAGTGTTTTGATGGAATTCTGTCTTCTGAGCTGGATGGTTTAACTGTGGAACTTCATTAGCACCTGAAGTTTGTGCTGATGATGTTGTCTAGAAAGACGATGAAATTTTCACGACCAAGAAATCCAGCTCAAAGAACAAAAATTTAACAAAATCATTCACCTGAGCTACAAATCGTCTTTGCTATCTCATAAAAAAGTGTACATAAATGGGTTCGTTTCTTAGTAGATTATAAGATATAATATACTGAGGAGTCCCATAAACGTGAATACAAAACACTGTTCAATTCTCCCTGTTTATATATGTATATTCAATAATTTAAACTCACTTTTAAATTAAACGTTTCAATTAAAGCAGTTTCATGTAATGTTAATGTATTTCCAACACTTCGTACTTCTAAACCTTCTGTAGTCATACCAACACCAAGTTCTGGATGATCTCTTATTCCATGTTCTATAACATCAGCAATATATTTTAATGATTGAGCATATTGTTTCATTTGATAATAACATAATGCAATATTATAAGATAATTGTGGTTGGAAACCAGTCATCTTGTGAAAAAAAGAAAAAGAAAAGAGAAATATGAGTTTTGTTTTTCTTATTTCCAATAGTTCATTTGAATTATTTGTAAAATATTATAAGAGATAATTGTTGGTCTCACGCGCGAGCGCTTAACCATTAGACCACTGAGCCTGCATACAATGGTGTTAGTGTCTAACTTTAACCAATCCACGAAATTGTGCCACCGACACTCCTGGAGTTCTAGCGAGAAGCCGTGACCAGTGGAGTTCAACCAGGTCTGTTGTGAGATATCAGCTCACTGAAGATAATTGCTGATTGTTTTGTCCTTTTCCTTATTAACTTGAAGCTACTAGGTTCGATTGTCGGTTGGATCAAGAATGTGTATTACCAAGACATCCTATACTTACTTACTTAAGCTTGTTACCCCTCGTCGAGGAACATAGGTCACTCACCATCACACTTCATCTAACTCTATCTTAGACAATTCTTTCCAGTTCTTTTCAGTTGCTATTCGGTCTTTTCATTTCAGCCTTTAATTTCTGACGCAGTGTGTTCTCCGAAGGTTAGTTTGTTCTCTCCCACAATAGGCTATTGTTTATGGTATCCGGTCAACGGATATTGATTATTATGCGTAAATAATTGTTTATAAATACTTGTACCGTTTCGATTATGGTTGTGGTAATTCTACAAATTTCAACTGCGTACGCTAGAATTGTCTAGAAGTTCGTACTGAAGATTCTCACTTTGATATTGGCTTGAAGACAGTTGTTTTTAGTTCCACATGTACTTCAAATGTAGGAATGTGACCCTCACTTTGCCAATCCGTGCTTTTATGTCTGCATCACATCCTCTTTGTTCATCGATGATGCTGCCCAGGTACGTGAAAGACTACACATCATCCACAGTTTCTCCATCAAGTGTGATTGTGTTGGTGCTGTGAGTGCTGTATTTAAGGATCTTGCTTTTTCCTATGTGTATGTTGATGGCCACTAGTGCAGAGGCTGCTACTACACTCGTTGTCTTCATCTGCATTTGTTCGTGTGAAAGAGACAGAAGTTGCAGGTCGTGTGCGAGGTTCAAATCGTCTAGTTGATTCTGAGTTTTCCATTGTATTCTGTGCTTTCCCTCATATGTCGAGGTTTTTACAATCCAGTCAACCACCAGAAGAAAGAGAAAGGAGGAGGTTAGACAGCTTTGTCTGACTCCGTTCCTCACTTGGAATGTATCTGTCAGTTGATCTCCATGCACTACTTTGCAGTGTAGTCCGTCGTATGAATTCTGGATGATATTGACGAACTTCTCAGGTACAGAATGGTGTCGGAGAAGCTTTCATAATGTTCTGCCATCTGTACGCCGTCAAACGCTTGCTCATGGTCAATGAAGTTCCACCCAACTGATTGTTCAACGATGATCCGTAATGTCGTGATTTGGTCGGTGCACAACGAGACGTCCCATACGAAGATAAAATATCTGTTCAGTTATCCTAGTTCTTAATACTTTTTTAATTAACATCAGCTACTGATGTCTTCAGAAACCCCCAAAAAAATTACAATAAAATCACCAATTTTCTAATTTGATTTTATTCATGCTATCTATATTCTCGCTGGTTAATTCCTTACTGCTCCAGCATTCCCTTTTCACCACAACTCAGAAAGCATAATCGGAGAACAAGATTTATTCCAAGTAACCAAGACATTAGGAATCGCAGTAGTAAAAACAAAACAGGTTTACATAAAATTTACAGACGAATCTTCCGATCCAATCTTAATCTGTTCATTGGCTCTGAATTTTTGGAAATGGAACTGTCAAAATATTCAAATTTAAGCTTGATCTGTGCAGGTTAAGATTCAGTGGAGATTATTAAGCTTTTGATTGAGATCATGAACCGATTGATGTTAGACCACCAATGAAAACTCGAAAGCGCTGGATGGCCCTTTCGTCCTATTGTGGAATTCCTCAGCAGTGCGCACCCCCGATCCTGTTCGCCGGATTCTAACCCAGGGCCTTTAGCCTCGCGCGCGAACGTTTAACCTACTGGACCACTGAGCCGGCATTCAGTGGTGTTAATGTCTAGCTTCAACCAATCTACGAAATTACATGACCATCTCCCATTGTACTGAGTTAGGTAGCTGCCTCTACCCAACACGGATTAGCTCAACTAATCATAGCTTCTCACTAGGACTCCGAGAATCCCCTCACGAAGCTAGTCACTATTGAGCACATCTTATTAAAAACTCTAAATAGTATGGCAACAAATCAGATGAATGGTCGCAAGAATCGTTATTATTCTGATTCACAACTCATACGGTTATATAAATGAGATACCATACTATAAAGTACTATATGTGCTAAAATGTAATGGATACGCAACAGATTGCTGTAATTATATCCTGAACATTGCTTTGTATAACAAATAATATCATTCGTAATTGTTTCAATAATCTTTCGCTCATGTTAAGTTCCGTATTCGTATTTAACTTCAAACCAGACATTTCACTTTCGATTGATGATACATACTACTTATGTAGTGTGTGCTACTTATATCGACATTAGTATACAACGCGAGTCTGGAATAGTATGTCTGGCAGCAGAAGATTAAGAAGATCGAGAAGGGAAGAACGGGAACAGAAAGCAATGGGAATGGAAATGCAGGAATAATGAGGTTTGAGACAATTAATGAACATTTTGCAAATGAAGTATTAAAGTATGGTTTTTTCGATTTTATCAAGCAACTCTGTAATGTCTATTGACACCAGTAGCACACACCACACTCAACAAGACCCTCCTCTAGGACTGACTACTAGGAACAGGGACGGTTGTGATGTGTGCTATTGATGAAGATAGATATAAGTAGCATGTATCATCAGTCGGATGTAAATTGCCTGGCGACACAAGATTAAGAAGATGGAAGAAAGGAGAACGAGAATAATGAGGTCTTAGACGATTGACTGATATTTTGCAAATGAAGTATTTACTGTACATTTCTCAGACTTTACTAAGATATTCTGTAATTTCGTATCCAAATGCATTCGTTTGTCCCTACTGGTATTACCGTTCAATACATTATTACAATTTCTTCAAAGTACACTACTTTCTAAGTTATTCTATAGTTGTATTTATCTATTCCTGAATTGTATGATTTTAGTATTAGAACATTTAACTGATTCTCTTAATGAATTATATTCAGCCAGTTTCTTAAAACTAACTTTAAGTCACTTTTTTATCGTTAGAATGAAAGTTACTTCGCTCTCTATTATGATTTATACTACTACCTAGTCAACTTAGTTAATCCTTTTGTTAAACTAACTGGATGCTGGCTCAGTGGTCTGGTGGTTGAGCGCTCACGCGTGAGAATGATAAGTCCTGAGTTCGAATCACGTGAAGGGGGGCGGGATCGTGGATGTGCACTGCTGAAGAGTCCCATACTAGGACGGAACGGCAGTTCAGTGCTTTCAGGCTTTCCATTATGGTCAAGCTTCAATTGACTCATGATCTCGACCATTGAAATTACTACAATATCCACAAAACCCCTTCTGATATAATCAAAATAAATCATTCAATTAGATTTTCATCACAGAACAGTTGTTCACTAATATATGTATTTTGTTCAATCTTGATAGTATTTTGCTTTTCTATAAAATATTTATTTAGTGAAGACAAAGATCATCCTCGTCATTCATTTATATTAGTTAGTTAAATCCATTAAATATGAGTGAATATGGTTGGTTCTGTGGTCCGGAGGTTAAGCGTTCACGTGCGAGACCGATAGGTCTTGAGTTCGAATCTCACGAGGCGGGACCGTGGATGCACACTGTTGAAGAGTTCCACAATTGGACGAAACGGTCATCCAGTGCTTCCAGGTTTGCTATGATGCTCTAGCTTTAATTAACTCATGATCTC